TTTTTTTTTTTTTTTTTTTGAACAATTGGATTGAATCGTTGACTTGGGAGAGAGGTTGGTGAATTTTTACAAAAATAATGCATACCACTTGACACTATGGTCAGGTTTCGGTGGGTTATGATTATTGCTTACAATATTTTAAAAAACGCAATAATCATATTTAGGCGTAAAATGGTAAAATGGTTTATAGCGTGTTTCATTAGAAAGTGTAAATATGCAATAATCATATTTTACAATGTTCTAAAATATCGGATGCCAATTTGACATCAATCGACCTTTTTCACTTTAGTTTTTTTTAATCGGTAAAATGGTTTACAGGCGATAGCGTCATCTCTGAATTCATCTTCAATAACCACATCACTGCGCAACCAAATGATGGAAACTCATTAAGTGGAGATTGCTTTGGCTTTTTCAGTGAGCGTCCGTGCTCTCTTCCACTCATCAGTTTTAGCTGCTGCTGTTGCTGCTGCTTATGGTGCTTCATCAATAACCACATCACCTTTTATTCTTCGATTTTCCTCTTTTTCTCTTCATTCAGAACCCCTATTTTATCTTTGATTTCCCTTACTGAATTCCACTCTTTTTCAGTTTCCCCTTCAAATCTCTGCTTGGAATCATAGAGGAAGAACGACCAAAAAACAAAATTTTGTGGAATAGGTTCGCCCCGTCAAAAGTAAGCTTTCTTGGCTGGCACTTTTTGTTGGATCTTTTTTGGATAAAAGATAATCCTACGAGCAGAGGTATTTCCTTGGGCCTTTCGGTTTTTGCTTTTTCTCATCTGGGTATTTGAGTTTATTTGAATTTCGAATTGGGTATTCGAAAAGATTGGTATTTGTTTCTGGGTTTTTAAGAAGAGAAAGAAAGAAATGAAGCCTGTTTCTGGGATTTTTGTTTCCAGTCAATTGTATACTTTTTGCTTGTGCCAAGGAAATACCTCCTGCTCATATTAAGGGTTTGCGAATTTTTGGAAAGGGGAAAGTTGCAGACCAGAAAAACACAAATTCGGAACAAGGGCTTATCTTGAAATGACGTCGTTTCAATAGTTTTTCTTTGTTAATCGAAACATCTTGTTAGCTGTAGTATTAGAAAACAGTGTAGTATTCTCTATCTAAGCTGCATTTTTAAGTCAAAAGTCTATAAACTTTTTCTTTATAGTACAATAATTTCTCATTGGCTAGCTTTCGTTATTGCTGTTTAAAAATAGAGTTGAAATTATATTATTATTACAGGATAAAAGTCTATATTAACTTCCCATGCTCTTTTCCTTTCCTCCAGTCAACTGTGCCTGCTTGAAGGAGTATTATTCGCACTTTAGCATTCCAGTATGCGTAGTTGGTATTACTACTTTTGTTGGAATAGACCGAGCATTGACTCAAGCTCAAAAAGAGTGTTATTTCTGATCGATTGTCCGCTTGAGCTGGTGAAACAGCCCAAATTACCCACAAACCCTGAAAAAATGGACGCTTTAACATCCAGTCTTGCTGATGTGATGGTCTCCACTCTCTTCGATTTTATTTCTGATCGATTGTCTGCTTCGGAGTTTCTCAACTTTGCCCGGAGAGAGCAGTTTTTCTCCCAACTCAACAAGTGGGAGAACTTTCTGCCCAAAATCAATGCACTGCTCCAGGACGCACAACAAAGCCACACCGCCAGTCCTGCCCTCAAACTCTGGCTCTCCGATTTAAGAGACCTTGCTTACGATGCTGAAGACATCATTGATGAAATTAACACCGAGGTCCAGCGCCGGAGAATACTAGGACACACCCAATATGGCACCACGAGGAAGGTACGCTTCATCTTTCCCCCATGTTGTGCTGGTTTCAATTCAAGCGGCATTAAGTTTAGCGGGCGGCTGGGGGCAGAGATGGAAGCTATCACTGCTAGATTTCAACTGATTCTTGAGGAAAAGAATATTTTGAATTTGGTGGAGGGAGGTGGCCAAGGGAGATTGGAGACAAAAAAGGAGAGGCTGCGCTCTACTTCTTCTCTTGTGGATGAATCTCGGGTTTTTGGCAGGGAACAGGATAAACAAGCCATTCTTGAACAGTTAATGGATGGTGAAACTGGTGTGATTTCAATTGTCGGAATGGGTGGTGTGGGCAAAACCACGCTTGCTCAGTTAGTTTACAATGATGATAAAATTGAGAACTTTTTTGAGTTGAAAGTTTGGGCTTGTGTCTCTACGGAATTTGATGTTGTTAGAGTGACTAGGACTCTGCTGCAGGGTGTTTCTTCGGAGAGTCTGCAGCAGGGTGTTTCTTCCGAGAGTCTCAGTTCCAAGGGCTTCGATTCACTTCAAGTGGAGCTAAAGGAGAAGCTTTCTGGAAAGAAGTTTTTGATTGTTCTGGATGATGTTTGGAATGAGAACTATGAGCAATGGGATGTTCTGCAAACACCCTTCATGGCAGGAGCACCTGGGAGTAAAGTACTTGTAACCACTCGAAATGAAGGGGTTGCGTCCATCATGACCACATTCACATATCCGGCATACCATTTGCCGGTGTTGTCCAATGATGCTTGCTTTTTGTTGTTTGTCACACATGCCCTTGGTGCCAGTAATTTTGATGAACACCCGAATCTTAAAGAAATTGGTGAAGAACTAGTGTGCAAGTGCAAAGGCTTACCACTGGCAGCCAAGACTTTGGGTGGGCTTCTGCGTGGTAAACGAAGTTATCATGAATGGGAAGATTTGTCAAGGAGCAAGATGTGGGACATAACAGAAAAAAGGGGTGGCATCCTTCCTGCTCTGATGTTGAGCTTCCATTATCTTCCTCCCCATTTGAAACGATGCTTTGCCTATTCTGCTATATTTCCAAAGGACTATGAATTTGACAAGAATGACTTGGTTCTATTATGGATGGCAGAGGGGTTAATACAACAAGCAAAGGGAGAAAAACAAATGCAAGACGTAGGTCTTACGTATTTTCATGATTTAGTTTCAATGTCTTTTTTCCAACAGTCAAGTAGCAACAAAAAACTGTTTGTTATGCATGACCTTATAAATGATCTAGCTCAATTTGTTGCTGGAGAAATTTGCCTTCATTTTGAGGATACCTGTGAAGACAAGCTGCGTGCATTTATTGCAAAGCTTCGTCATTTGTCATTCACTCGCCACCAGTATGAGATTTCCAAAAGATTTGAAGCATTAGATCCTGTGCACTGTTTACGGACTTTCATAGCATTGCCAATGGATACATCATCTTGGGGAGCATGCTATTACATAAGTAGTGATGTGTTACAGGAGTTGGTGGCAAAACTAAGATGCTTAAGGGTGCTATGTTTGAGTGGATACTGCATAGATGAAATACCATATTCTATTGGTGATCTGAAGCATTTGAGGTACCTTAATTTGTCTCACAGTACAATTAAACAGTTACCAGAATCTGTGGGCAGCCTATTCAACTTACAAACACTTTTATTGAGAGGCTGCAGGAACCTTACTAAGCTGCCACAAGGTATTGAAAATCTAATTAACCTTCTTGTCCTTAATCTTACTGATACTGAGAAATTAGTGGAGATGCCATTGCGAATAGGCAAGTTGATAAATCTTCAAATTTTGTCCAAATTCAGTGTTGCAAAGGACAGTCAGTTTGGCATTAGAGAATTGAAGGACTTGTTACATTTAACAGGGGAGCTTTCCATCACTGGGTTGGAAAATGTGGTGCATGTTCGAGATGCAGATGCTAATCTAATGGACAAGCGTGGTATTGATGGCTTATATTTGAAATGGGGTACTGAGTTCCTTGATCACCAAAAGGAAGAAGATGAAATGCTTGTTCTTGATATGCTAAAACCTAGTAAGAATCTGAAAGAACTTACAATTTCATTTTATGGTGGTACAAGATTTCCTTCTTGGTTAGGAGATCCCTCATTCACTAAGATTGTGCACATGAACCTTAATGACTGCAGTAAAAGTATGTCACTTCCATCACTTGGGAGACTGCCATTATTGAAGAAGTTGTCCATCCGAGGAATGAATAGAGTCAAGAAGGTGGGTCTTGAGTTTTATGGTGAAGGTTTGCCTTCTGCTAAGATGTTTCCATCCTTGGAAATTCTGTGGTTTCAGAAGATGTTAGAATGGGAATGTTGGTCTTCTACTCATAAAGGTGATGAATTTCCTTCTCTTCGTGAGCTCATGATAAAAGATTGTCCAAAGCTAACTGGGGACTTACCAAGACATCTTCCTTCCCTTGTGAAGCTTATCATTAGTCACTGCCCAAAGTTGGAGGGTTCACTTGTGAGCCTCCCCTCCCTTCGTGAATTAAATATTGAAGACTGCAACAAGAAGCAACTGAAAAATATTGTTCACCTTACTTCCTTAACAACACTAAGAATCCGAAGTATTAGGGACCTTGCATGTCTGCCGCAAGAGATGCTAGAGTCTCTAAGTGCACTTCAAACCCTTGATGTATCCAATTGCACTGAACTGACATCTTTGTGGCAGAAGGGTACTGGACTGAAGAACATTGTTTCTCTTGAGCACCTAAAAATTAAGGGCTGCTCCAAATTTGTATCTCTGATAGAAAATGAGCAAGGTCTTCCTGGTGGTTTGGATGATATTGAATTGATCAACTGTGGCTACTTGGAGAAACTGACTCTCAAAAGTTTTCATATTGAATCATGCCCGAAACTTGTATCCTTTCCTGAGACAGGTTGCTTGTCCACACTTAGACATCTTAAGTTGAAAGATTGTGTAGCTCTTAAGAAACTGCCTGATTGGAAGATGATGCTTAATTGCAGGACTGGTGATTGTCTTCTTGAAGACTTGGAGATTGAGGAATGTCCTTCCCTCACATACCTTCCAAGAGGCAACATGCTTACCAGTTTGCAAAGGTTGAAAATCCGACGTTGTGCAGATTTGCAGTCTCTACCCGAGGGAATCATGCAGAACAATAATGACACACACATGTGGGATCTTAAGAGCTTGGAGATTGATAATTGTCCATCTGTAACGTGCTTTCCTGAAGGCATATTACCAGTTAGTCTTAAAACACTGAAAATTTGTGATTGCTCAAAGCTGGAACCACTTTCAGAGCGGCTGCTGCACAACAATGCATCACTTGAATACATCTATATGCGGAACTATACAACTCTCAGAAGTTTGCCAGAATGCCTATATAGCCTCACACATCTGACTGAATTAATTATAAGTAATTGTCCAGCTTTAATCTCCTTTCCAGAGCCAGGTCTCTCACCCACTTTGAAAACCTTAGAAATCTACAGTTGTGCCAATCTCAAATCTCTACCTGAGAGGATGCAAAATCTTGCCTCTCTTCAATATCTAACAGTTTGTGACTGTCCATGTCTTGTGTCGTTTCCCAAAGAGGGTTTGTCCCCTCAACTATTGGTACTGGAGGTCTGGGATTGCATAAATTTGAAGCAGTCAATGGCAGAGTGGAACCTACACTCTCTAGCCTCTCTTAAAGAGCTCATCATTGTTGGTGCACCGGATGCAGCTTCCTTCCCAGATGGAAAGTGTCTGCTTCCTACAACTCTCACTTCTATAGTCATTTCTAAACTCAACAGTCTAGAATCTCTATCAGCAGAACTACAAAACCTGACCTCTCTTGAAGAGCTAGAAGTCAGCAATTGTCCAAAGCTTCAAGAGTTGCCAAGGAAAGGAATGCCTGCAAAACTTGGAAAACTTTGTATCAGAAACTGTCAACTTCTACAACAACGCTTAAAGAAGAATGGAGTATATTGGCCGTTGATAGCCCACATTCCTTGTAAAGAAATAATAGATGGTATCTCTTCTTGTTTTCAGTTATGTTTGGATAAACTTTTGTTGGACTACCTTTTTTATCAGCCTGTTGTTGGACTCCTTAATCCTTGTTCTAATGGACTCTGCACTGCATGGGCAGATTAAATTCAAAAACGACCCAGCATTGAACTGTTGCAAGTGAGCAGTTCTTGGTACCAAATTGTAGGAGACTGGTGGTGATGGATTCAAGGAGGAGGAGGAGGAGAACTGGGGAGCCCTTTACCTTTGCTCAGAGCTACTGTAAGATCAATGGCTGGACTATGAATGTATCTCAACGTTCAAGAGTTGTGAAGGGAAAGAATGCCTGCAAAACTTGGAAAACTTTGTATCGGAAACTGTCAACTGCTACAACAACTCTTAAAGAAGGAGCATATTGGCCGTTGATAGCCCACATACCTTAGATAGAAATAGAATGGTATATCTTCTTGTTTTCAGTTATGTTTGGATAATAAACTATATGTGGACTACTTTTTTATCAGCCTTTTGTTGGACTACTTAATCCTTGTTGTAATGGACTTTGCACTGCATTGGCAGATTAAATTTAAAAAAGACCCAGCATCCAATTGTTGCAAGTGAGCTGTTTTTGGTATCAAATTGTAGGAGGCTGGTGGTGATGGATTCAAGGAAGAGAACTGAGGAGACCTTTACCTTTGCTCAGAGCTACTGTAAGATAAGTGGCTGGATTATGAATGTATCTTAACATAAAATTGGTCACACAGTATTATAATATTAATTGTTTACATAGGTTTCTTATATTCTTTATTCGTGCAGATTTAAACACATTATATCCATCAAACTTGGTGTTACAGCACACTACATACAGAGGGAATATCAACAAGGTAAAACACATTTTAGCTTAAACTCTGTTTTATGGTGCAAACACTTGGGATTTGCTCATAATTAATTTGGAAAGTGGTCCATCCATACTTGTATTCAAGATAATCTATCCTCTTTTTTACCTCAAACACTTAACAGGATAGTGGCATCATGTAATAACTTTGGTTTGCTATTGGGTTTCTGCTAAGAGAAATTAAAGATTCCAGGCGAGTTGCATAATTAATGTCTATGTTGCTATACCCTGCTGATACCATTATACTGTAGATATGCTAAACAAGAACTTTGAACTGGACAAGAGGGGAGATTTGTTTGTGACAGTTGAGAATGCCATTGTTGTTAAACTAGGTACAATCAGTTTCCAGTTTGTAAATCTCATCTTAAATCCTTCAAGTCTCCGTTCACTTCTAGTTAATGTAACCTTTTGCTTCTCCAGTTTTTCAACGTCTCATTTGCATGCTGTTGTTGTTGGCATTTACCTGTGTGCTGTTTTGTTTGTTGTTGTTGGAATGCAAATCTGGAGAAAGTTTGGGGGAAAGATATGATGCATGTTTGGCAGCTTAAAACTAGAGGACCACTTGTTAGGGAATGGGTAAGTCATCTTCAGCTCCCTAAAATATCATTTGGAACTTTCAAATGCTAAATTATTCTTTTTTTTTACCTGGAAGCAATGCAAACTGTAAAATGGTTTTTCTCTAAAGAAAAACAAAGAAAATGGAGAGCAGAACAATTGAGTAATTTCATTAAAGCTTGAAATATGGGAAAATCATACTAATAAGGATATAAACTCTTTAAATTTTACTAATCAAGGCTAGGAACTGATTTTTTACCTATCACAGTAGTCGAACTTTTTAATTTTCCTAACCAAGGAGTTTAACTCTCTAATTCTACTAGCCAAGGAGTCATTGGATGGAATGCTGACATGGCATTATTCATGCCGTTAGTGGGTCTCACTCAAAGTTAATGACGTGTGTCACGTTGTTGTCTTGTTAGTGCCTATATGGACTTCATATTTTATTATGTGGCAAATTTTTTTTTTTTTTTTAAAAAAAGGAACAATATACATGTTGGCTGCAGTTGTTCTTCTTTTCCTCAAACTTTCACTCTAATTAGGGTTTCTTTCTTAATTTTGCTCTCAGTTGGCCATGTATAATGCCCATGGCGTGGAAAGCTGTTGAAAGGATAAACATGCCTTTAATATTCAGTTCATGTATTTGGTATGAATAATATTTAATAATGTATCTAGAAGAATGGGATTCATGTATACCAGTTAACTAGGGGAAGAACCAGTGTTTATGATTTATCTATAAATAACTTTGTAAATTCTTATTTTCAATGAAGTCAATAGAGAAATATTGTCTCCAAACTCTCCTCTCTACCACTGTAAAATCCTCATAAGTCCGTTTATATCCAACAAAGTGGTATCAGAGCCTCCTTCTCGAAATGGCAAGTGGGAATCTGGTTTCATTGCAGGTTCCAAAATTCACAAAAGAGAAGTTTGACAATTGGTGCATCCGAATGAAGGCCATACTCGATGCACATGATGTGTGGGAAATTGTTGAGAATGGATATGATGCTCCTAAAGACATGAGTGCTCTGACACAAGCACAAAAGGATCAGTTTAATAGCATCAAGAAAAAGGATCAGAAGGCCGTTTCTCTCATTCACCAAGCATTGGATGAGGTTACCTTTGAGAAGGTTTCTAATGCCACCACAGCAAAGCAGTTGTGGGAGAAACTTCAAGCTGCCTATAAAGGAAAAGAAAAGGCAAAGAAAGTTCACCTCCAAAGTTTGAGAGGTGAATTTGAAGCTGTCCAAATGAATGAAACAGAAAAGGTGTCAGATTATATTTCAAGGGCCATGGGGATTGCCAACTAGATGAGAAGGCTTGATGAAGAGGTGATTGATTTAAGGATAATTGAAAAAATTCTTAGATCAATTACAGAGAAATTTGATTATGTGGTGACGGCCATTGAAGAATCAAAGGACTTGGAAGACATGACTGTTGAGGAGTTAAGTGGTTCACTTGAAGCACATGAGGAGAAGCTCAATAGAAGAAAGAAAGAGCCCATGGAGCAAGTTCTACAGTCAAAACTTTCTCTGGGTGATAAAGAACAAAAGGGAGGCACAAGTCAAGGAGGACGAGGTCAAGGCCGTGGACGCAGTCGTGGTCGAGGACGTGGAAGAGGAGGAAGAAGTGTCCAGAACACTAATCAAAGCAGAGATGAAAATTTTCAGTTCTCCTCTTTGAGAGGCCGTGGCAAAGGAGGATCAAGGCCATATCAGAAGATGTATGACAAATCCCAAATTCAGTGCTACACTTGTCATAAATTTGGGCATTATTCATGGGAATGCAGATTTGGCAACAATGTAAAAGCCAATTTCTCTCAAGACAAAGATAAAGAAGTTAATGAAGAGGTGGAGACAACTCTCTTGTTGGCCTACAAAGATATGAAGAATGAAGAAAAGCACTCTTGGTACCTTGATACTGGAGCAAGCAACCACGTGTGAAAACAAAGAATTATTTGTGGAGCTTGATGAGAAAGTTGGCGGCAACATCACCTTTGGAGACTCCTCCAAAATACTAGTGAGGGGTAAAGGTAAAATTCTGATACGCATGAAGGATGGAAATCATCAGATTATCTCAAATGTTTATTATGCACCAGATATGAAGAGTAATATTTTGAGTGTGGGCCAATTGTTAGAAAAGGGATATGCTGTATTCACAAAAGGTTGCAGTTTGTACTTGAAAGATTCTGCAGGAAACTTGATTGCTAAAGTCTCAATGTGAAAGAATCGTATGTTTGCTATGAACATACATATAGATGTGGCTAAATGCTTACCATCTTGTTATAAAGATTCTTCATGGTTGTGGCATTTGAGATTTGGGCATATGAACTGTGGAGGACTTAAGGTTATGGCTAGCAGAAGAATGGTGAAAGGCTTGCCCTCGGTGAATCAACTTGATCAACTTTGTGAAGGTTGTCTTCTTGGTAAACAATCAAGAAAGAGCTTCCCAAAAGAGTCTTAATCAAGAGCTACGAGGCCACTATAGCTAGTTCACACTGATGTTTATGGGCCGATCACCCCATGTTCTTTCGGTAAGAACAAATACTTTCTTTTGTTCATTGATGATTACAGTAAAAAAACATGAGTATATTTTCTTAAAGAAAATCAGAAGTGTTCAAATGTTTCCAGAATTTTAAAGCACTTGTGGAGAAGGAAAGTGGCTCTAAATCCAGGCATTGAGATCTGACAACGGAGGTGAATTCACTTTTAAAGAATTTCAAGAGTTCTGTGCTGCCAATGGAGTTCATCATTTTCTTACTGCTCCAAGATCGCCACAACAGAACGGAGTGGTGGAAAGGAAAAACAGAACCATTCTGAATATGGCAAGAAGCATGATGAAGACCAAGAAGATGCCAAGAGAGTTTTGGGCTGAAGTTGTTGAGTGCGCAGTCTACTTGTTGAACCGCTGCACAACAAAAGCAGTTGAAAATGAAACTCCAATTGAATTATGGAGTGGAAGAAAGTCCTCAGTCCATCACTTGAAGGTGTTTAGAAGCATTGCATTTGCCCATGTTCATGATGGAAAGCGCACCAAGCTTGATGACAAGTGCAAGAAGTATGTGTTTGTTGGTTATGATTATAGAACAAAAGGACATAGGCTTTATGATCTAGAAGGTGGCAGAGCTGTCATCAGTAGAGATGTGGATTTTGATGAAGAAGCCATGTGGGATTGGAAATCTCAAGAAGAGAATTATGAATTTCTTCCGTCTTTTGCAAAAGAAGATGATGAAGAAGAAAGGCAAAAAATCATCACTCCCCCAGCATCACCGTCTCGTGGTGAAATTTCACCTTCAGAAGGAAGCTCAAGTGAAGGGCCGTTGCGAACAAGGAGGCTCAGTGATATATATCGAGAAACTGAAGAAATTGAAGAAACTAGTGATGTTACACTATTTTGTCTTTTTGCAGACACTGAGTCTATTAACTTCAATGAAGCTGCCAAAGATAAAAAGTGGAGAAAAGCAATGGACAAGGAGATGAATGCAATAAAAAAGAGCTAGTCACTCTTCCTCAAGGACATACTGCTATTGGAGTGAAATGGGTGTTCAAAGAGAAGAAGAATTCTAAAGGAGAGGTGGAAAGATATAAAGCAAGGCTCGTGGCTAAAGGCTATAATCAGCAACATGGCATCGACTATGAAGAGGTTTTTGCATTGGTAGCTCGTCTGGAGACGATAAGGTTGATAATTTCTCTAGCAGCTCAAAACAAGTTGAAGATTTTCCAAATGGATGTCAAGTCAGCCTTCCTAAATGGCTCTCTTGAAGAAGAGGTGTATGTTCAACAACCTCTTGGCTATGTTGTAAAGGGTGAAGAGAACAAGGTGCTTAAACTGAAGAAAGCTCTCTACGGCTTGAAACAAGCTCCAAGAGCTTGCAATTGCAAAATTGACAGATACTTTTAGGAGAATGGCTTTGTCAAGTGCCCTTATGAATTTGCTCTCTATGTAAAGGTGAGCAATGGTGGAATTTTAATTGTTTGCCTTTATGTAGATGATCTAATATTTACAGACAATAATCCAAGAATGTTTGAAGAATTCAAAAGGGCAATGAGCAGTGAATTTGAAATGACAGATATAGGACTCATGTCCTATTATCTTAGCATAGAAGTGAAGCAAATGGAGGAAGGCATCTTCATTTCACAAGAAAATTATGCAAGGGAGGTGCTTAAAAGGTTCAACATGAGCAATTGTAAACCGGTGAATACTCCGGTTGTCGGTCGCATCAAGCTGTCCAAGTTTGAAGAAGGTGGAAGTGTGGATGCAACTCTTTTTGGAGTTTAGTTGGAAGTTTGAGATATTTAACTTGCACAAGACCTGATATTTTGTTTGGAGTTGGACTGGTTAGTCGATATTTGGAGGCTCCTACAACAGTTCATCTAAAGGCAGCAAAGAGGATCCTTCTCTATATAAAAGGTACTGCTGATTTCGGGTTGAATTATTGTGCCTCTAATGACTTTACTCTTAGAGGTTTCAGTGACAGTGATTGGGCCGGAGATATTGATGATAGAAAGAGCACCACTGGATGTGTGTTTTGCATGGATGATACAGCTTTTACTTGGAGCTTGAAAAAGCAGCCCATTGTTACTCTGTCAACTTGTGAAGCAGAGTATGTCGCTCTTAATTCTTGTGTAACTCATGCAGTTTGGTTGAGGAATTTGCTAAAGGAGCTTCATGTCACACAAAAGGGCCCAACAGAAATATATGTTGACAACAAATCTTCAATTGCATTGGCAAACAATCCTCAATTTCATGAATGAAGCAAACATATTGATACCAGGTATCATTATGTGCGCCAGTGTGTTGAAGACAAAGTGGTGCAACTAATTTTTGTGAAATATCATGATCAGATGGCAGACATCCTTACCAAGGCTCTCAAGTTCGATGTTTTCAAGAAATTAAGAAGCTGTCTTGGAGTTGGAAAAAGTCATGTTTAAAGGGGGGTGTTGAAAGGATAAACATACCTTTAATATTCAGTTCATGTATTGGGTATGAATAATATTTAATAATGTATCTAAAAGAATGGGATTCATGTATACCAGTTAACTAGGGGAAGAACCAGTTTTTATGATTTATCTATAAATAACTTTGTAAGTTCTTATTTTCAATGAAGTCAATACAGAGAAATATTGTCTCCAAACTCTCCTCTCTTCCACTGTAAACTCCTCACAGGTCCGTTTATATCCAACAAAAGCCTCCAATACCTATGCCAAGCTTGTCAAAGCGCCAAAATCTCTAGCTTAAACCCTTCAAGCGAGATGAATTTCTCAATTGGAATCCACCCAATTTTCTTAAATTAAAGACTATTTTATGCTCTCAACAACTCAAAATAATAGGAGCACGAAATCAGTTTGTCGTATGGAAGAAGGGCCATAGAATTAGAAAGGTTTTAGTTTTCCAGGTATAGTTTTGTATTAACCTAATTTGCATTTTTTTTGGCATAAACAATAACTAAAAATTTTGTTATTGTTCTATTTACCATATGTCTCATGCATTTAGTTTTTATTTATTTATTTATTATCATTATTGACGAATTGAATTTGCTTATTTATGCAGTTTGAGTGGATTATGTAAATTGCATACACATCATGGGGGTACTCTACTGAGGTCTCATGTGGTTGATTTTATTGGTGGTAAGGTTGATAAAGATGATGGAAGTGACCCGAATTTGCTTTGTTACAAAGACATTGTTGACGATGTTAGGAAAGAGGGGTATGATCATATTAGCAACCTATTCTACTTGCTTCCAAACCATTCAGACTCAAATGGTTTAATTCCACAAAATAATGATAATGATGTTTTAAAGATGGGACAAAGTCTTTATAAGCATGGGCCAGTGAATGTATTTGTTGAGCATTTAGTGGTTAAAAGGGGTGTTTGTGGAGATGCAAGCGTAGGTAAGGGTCAGACTTCAAAAACGTGCCATGTGGATTCTTCTGATGATAAAGATCAATATGATTTGGAATCTGATGAAGAAGAAGAAATTAGACTTTTTCAGATTGATTTATGTAGTGAAATGATGATCCAGAATTGGTGAAGGTTATAAATAAGTCACAAGTGCATTTACAAGTTCTTGTTAAGTCTGTACCCCCAACTAATGAGCTTTTAGATGTACCAGTCGAATTTGATGCACCTGCTCAAGATGATAAAAAACAGAAGCAAAAAGGTCCTAGAAATAGAGGTGGAAAAAGATCCAAAACAATGAGGAAAAAGCCTTTTTGTCTGAATGTGTTTGATAAAATGCCTATTGGTGATGATACCATGGTTGTAGACTCTAATACATGTGCTACAGATGGGGATTCAGATCACTTTGATAGTGATGATCCTGGTGTTTATGATTCTGACATATCTGAGGATGAATTCATGGTGACTGAAGATGCAGTGAGAAGCAAAACAACATATCCAGCTTTTTATCCAAAAAATGTTATTCCTATCTTCAATATTGGGATAAGGTTTAAAAATTGTGAGGAGCTCAAGGAAGCTATTAGAACATATTCTATAAGAAAAGGATGTATTCTCAAATGGCTTAAAAATGATAGAGATTGTCAAAGGCTGCAATGCACCGGGGCACTTTGTTAGTGGTATATATGTGTTACTAAGTATAACAAAGAAGAAAGCTTCCGAATTGTTGTGAGAATACATAATTGCTTTAGAAGAAAAGATTATCCCCTGGCATATGCAGTTCGGCTTGCAAAATACTTGAAACCAAAAATTGATTCAAACCCTCGCAATAAGTTGAGAGAATTGAAGCAAGGATGTGATGATGAGCTTAGACTAGGAGTTTACACAAGTATGATGGCTAGAGCAAAAGGCATAGTCCTTAAGGAGTTAGAACGAAACTATATTGGAGAATATGCTACTTTAATGGGGTATAGAGATTTGTTAGTTCAAAAAATTCCTAACAATACAGTGGAGATCAACTATGATAAGTATATTAGGGACCATAATCCAGTTTTTAAAAGCATATATATTTGCATGGATTGCATTAGAGGGAGTGAAACATGGAACATGCACAATTGTTTGAAGCTACAGCCTCCACCACTTAGGAGGACCAAAGGACGGAGGAAGATAAAGAGGATCAAATCAAAACATGAGACCAAAAACCTGATAGCAGGACAAGTGGAAAGGATCTCAAAGAAAGGAGTAAAAATGACTTGTTCTTTGTGTGGGAAAGAAGGCCATAACAGAGGACATGTCAACACAAGGATGACCCAACCTTCAAAAGAGAAATGCCAAAGGTAATATTTACCACTAAATTTATCTTAGTTTACCTAGATTTGTATTCTGATTATAGTATTGAAACCCTTTTTTTTTCTTGTCATAATAGAAAACAACCAAACCAAGAAATAAACTGAACTAAATCAGTTTCATGTACTCTTGTTTTCGAAATCTTCATTTCTTCAAAAATACTAGTAAAGTATGTGTAAATTTGCTGTCACAGCTTCTACACAAACCGCTGGCTTGGCAGTTGGGTCATCCCTCTGGTACCACAGACGAATGAATGACTGGACTGAATGAGAGAAGCCCATCCATAATGCATAAATAGAGAGTAACAGTCTCCTCAGCTGCCTGCTGTCTACTTTAGGCCAATAGTTCCAGCAAGAACCAAAGCAATGCATATTCTCCATATCATAATTCGTTTGTATGTTTAAGAGTGGGGATGGCATCCAAGCACCGGCAACAGCTTCCTTGGGCTGGAGGATTTCCAACCTCTGAACGTTGGATGACACTCATTGCTTCACAGTGAGCAGAAGCAACCATAAGAACTTTTGTACACATACTTGGGCACTTGTGTCAGTAAATATGTTAGTGTATTTGAGATCAAGTCTGTTAATTTAGTTTCTTAGCAGTTATATCTTTTATGCAATTATGTTAACTATGTTATTGGTGCAGCAGTTTGTATTGCAGTTTCTTAACTTCATTTTGCTTGGCGACTGCCATGTACAAGTTTCTGGTTTTTCCTAGAAACCATATGTATGTTCAATGATGCTATTTTTGATATATCAGAATACTGTTCATGTATTTCGTTTCTCAGTTTAAACCTTGAGTTTATGTTCATTTTTACTAAGTTTTCATCATTACATCATCAAGATAAACTGTACAGTTGAATTTGTTCAAGAGAGAGCTACAAGATTGGATAATCCTTACCTCTCTAGGCACGTTCTTCTATCTGACTTTATGCTTACATCAGAGGAGTTCGGAAGAAAGTACTCTGCAGTTTTGACACATCCCGTGACTTCTGTAAGCTCTGTTTATTGTTATTTACAGCCAAATAGATTATATGTCTGTTATTTCTAACAGTTTTTGGTATTTAATCATGGAATATAAATTTCAATTTCTTCAACTAGAATTATCTCTGCTTCCTCAATGAAGAAATGTTTTAGAAAATGAATTCTTAGAACTTCTCTAATGTAACACCCTTAAGAAACAGAGCAGAAAATCAGATATTTCTTCAAGACTCGGCGGAGGTGTTTGGGTGAAGAAGTGCTTGATCAGTAAACTAGCTCTTATCATGGGTTGAATAATTAGACAACTTTTGACTGAAGGAGCATTTAAGGGCCACAACTACCGAGTTCCCCAGTATCCGGGGCGACTAATCCGGACCCGACCCGCGTCGCGCATCTGAAAATGGTGGGTGAGTCTCCCCAGTGATGTTAATAGTTAGCATATTTCTCCGATAGCAATAAGGCAGACACTATAGATGTGAAAAACCAAAGTTTTTCGGCTATCAAAGGTTAAAACCTCATTTGGTCCCTTTACTTTAGCAAAAAAAACCTCATTTTAATCTTTCTACTTAAAAAATCCTTTTTTAGTCTTTAAAATTTATTATCTGATCTTTTTTTAGTCCATTTGTTATTTTTTGCATTTGTACACATTAGATGTGAGAATTTTAAAGTAGATGGATTAAAAAAAGCTCATTTTTTATCCCTTAAAAGAAAAGCTCATCTTTAGTCCATCTACCTCGAAATTTTCATTATCTAATGTGACATGCGAAAATTATGAAGGGACTAAAAAAGGATCAAATAATAAACTTTAAGGATAAAAAGAGGTTTTTTTAAATAGAGAGACTGAAAAGAGATTTTTTGTTAAGGTAGAGGGACCAAAATAAGGTTTTAACGCTACTAAATTGAATGTCAATTATGATCCCTCTAATTTGTTTTAATCAGAAAAGAGAGCTGCAATACAGCAAGTCTGAGGTAGTTATGATACAAGACAGAAAGAAAAGTCAATTTTGTAATGTTCTCCCAACATTTTTCATTTGATGAGCAAAACTTAGAGGAATAACTATGTATCTATCCATCACCTTAAAACTTCACCCAAAGGGTAACATCTACACCTGCATTTTGATAACTTCTCTGTTTCTGGATGACAACATGATGCAAAAGGATCACAGCAACTGTAACTGGGTCTCTGAGTCATTGGAATGTTTTCTCTTTCGGGTTCTTTTCTCTTGTGATAATGATCAGCAAACAACCTGGCAGAAGAAGAGTTGATAGGAGACCCTCCTAGGTAAAACAACTTCAAGTAATTTAATATGTATCCTACCATGGTACCATAAGGTAAGGAGAAATAAAGAACCATATAGATATGAATGGATAGAGACATACAGGTAAGGTAATAAAAGAAAACAAGGTAGCTTCCATTTTGATAATTCTATCTTTTACAAGGTTTAAATGTAGGCCTTGATAAAGGAGGCTAGATTAAGGTTGAAAGCAACCAACTGACCAAGCTAAAAGGTATTAAAATTACATGGTTTCCATGATCATTCGATGTTATTCCCAGCTTAACGTACAAATTAATGCAAAAGAATACATTACCCTAAATCCAATGTGGTGTCTGAGTTTCCCCTTCCAACTGTGTAGCTACATGTCACATCAGAGCTAGCAACACCGTTGCCTGTGATACAATTCTTCCCTTCAATAGGACAATATTTGAGATAAGATGGAACTGATCGATTAGTTGATGGAAAGAAACCCTGAAGCTCCTCAACCAGCAATGCGTTGTATATAGTTCTTATCATAGTTGATTCAATGAAGTATAAGAAACTTTGTTGCAAAAACAATTTGCCTGTCTGTGCAAAGTCTCATTCTCTAGCATAGCCCGCTGCTCCTGGAAATAGAGATTACAAGAAAATTAGTTAAGACTAAATTTATAGTTTTTTGTCAAGTGACCAGTTATAAATCAATGGGCATCCTAATAGTGAGTCAGTGACTTTTACAATTTCTCAATCAGCTTGACATGCTTGAAGCTTTTGCAA